AACAACATAATTCATATTTTAAAATTAGATTAATAATTTGTTTTCTCTAAGGTATTCCAAATACTAATTTTCCCTTCAACAAATGTTATTTTATTAAATCAATATCACCAGGGTATTTGTTTCAGGTTTTTTTTTTTTTCTAGATAAAACACCATTTGGTTAAAGAGTTTTTGTGGAAGAATTACAGCTACCCCACTCCAGCTTCAGCTTGTTAAACAAAAACTGCACTTTTTTCAAATCTTAAAAAAATCTGACACTGAAATTCAGCCACATACACAAACGCCCTGGGACTGATGTTCACATCTAATCATCTGAAGAAAACAGCAGGACTATATGTTTCCTTTTTTCTTTTTTTTTTTTTTTTGGCTAAAATTAGCTTTTGCACTAATTTGGTCAATGTACCCTCGGAGACGCAGACGTTTATAGTGTGTGTTTTAACAATCCAAGCACATGGTCTAAATAAAATTGGAGTCACGTAAAAATCCAATTTGTTTGCTAAATGAGGGGGAAAAAATCCCCACTGCGAGCTGCGTTTATTGTTCAAATGGTTGGACTTTGCCTTGTTGTCTTGTGGTTTGCGGTGGAGTTGTTTTAGTGGAAACAACCAGGTCAATTGAATACTTTTACCAATATTCAAAAGTATCCCATGGATAATTAGATCGTTTTATGCCCTGCTTTAACACCGTACTTCTAAAAGTATTTCAAACTTATGTAGGTCGAAAAAAGTGATCAAGTCTAATGACACCACTAGCTATTGTTAGAAAGCAAAACTCGTGTCCTTGGAATTGATTGGTGACCTAAAAAAGTCAACTAATAAGCCAAGTACAAGAGACTTAACTACATTTGCTCTAATTTTAAACCCAACCTGGAATAATTTCACACGCTGGGACTCGCTCCACGTGAGACCTGGTGACGTCGACTGTGATGTCGACGTCCATCCTGGATCACTGGTCTCTATTCGTCTGCGCTGACATCAGATATGTCAGCAATTAACTCAGCCAGTGGAGCGGAGGGAAAACAGATGTTGGAAGTTGCGTTAAACATCAGTTCCACTACATAAAGCACATTGACCCGAGCTGTTGTCAACTTTGCAAGGTCATCTATGGGGGTGAAGGCGCAGGCAGCGAAACAATGACATTCAGAAATCAGGAAATGGTTTTTTAACTGTAACAGAATGGTTTCTGCAGCTTTTCAATCAATGTAAAAAAAAAAAAAGTTTGTAACATTTATTTTTCAAGGCAAAAGGACAAAGAATGTATTTTTATGTTTTCACTGACCTACATATATCTCTGTTTTCATAAATTGCAGTCCTTTTTGGACAAGTGTGGACCGAGGCCAGTTCACCGTCATGAGCATTTTCCTAAACTGTTTAGAAACAAGAAATAAAACTTTTTGTGAAGTTTTTGTGATTTTGTGTGTGTTGCATTACAAATTAAGATTGTAGCTGTAGACCAGCCCTGAGTTTGGCCCCATTCAATCACAGATGCACTTTTCATTTATAGTCAATGTCTTAATTGCCTCTTTCATCCTTAGCCTATAATTATTATGTAAAAACGTAATTATAAATCTTTCATTCCAAGTCAAAGGAGCTAAAGTCAGGACATCTACAACATTAAAACGTATGGTTTCCTGATGGAGGACACAGTCTCAGGGAGGACGGTTTGATGTAGTGGCAGACTGTGTTAACCAACAATGCAAATGACCCTGATGGCCATATGTTTGTAGCAGTGGTTTCAACCTTTGACCTTTATACACAAAGGGTTTCTAATTCCCAATTATGTTAATGGACAGATGGTGACGGACTATCAAATGTGCTTTTCTCTGGCAAAAAAACCACATTATTTATTTTTGTATTAAAAGACAAATATCTTGGAAATTTCAAGAAAACAAGATGAGTCGCCGTCTGTCCTTGCCTTGAAAGATTGAGCCTTTGGTAGATGCTATTTTTACACCAAATCTGAAAAGTCAGATCTGTTACCGGCTGACATTCTAGTCTTACTTTGCCTCTGTCTAAACTTTTTCAAGGATGCGTTTGCTGGCATCGACGTCTGAATGTGTAAATATTAAATTAAACCGGGGTTCAGGTCACTGTTTGTTTTTTCATTCTCATTACATTTTTTTTTTCTTTTTGGAAGTGCATCAACCTTTCTGGAAATAGCTGTTCCTCACTGCGGTTTAATTTCAACAGTAATGACTCAGGGTCGTTTCCAGTGACTTGGCCCAGCTGTGGTTGAACCAGTGTAAAACAATGAAAACAATGTGAAGGAGTTGTGCATGTTGTGGGGACATCTTCAGAAGGCTGGTGTCTAATCTTCTCGACTATAACAAAGCTAACTGTGCATGGCCAAACTGTAAAATACAGTAGCGTTAGACCTCCAGCTCAGCTCATGGTGGTATCAGCTGGCTTAGCCATTACGGCAGTTAGCGGAGCATGACGTGTTGTTGACTATGGCACAGCATTAGTTCCACCACATTAGACTCAATGACTATCACTATGACAGCATCTTATTCACCGGCACGCACGCACCGAGCGAGCACACACAGACACTGAGGCAGTTTGTGTTTTTGCATATGGACAAAACCCTGCTTTTTCATTTAAAGCACACAGCTGTGATTTTTAACCCCGTCCTCACATGTGGACGTCTCATTGAGATTCTACTGCGTGTGAACTCAAACGTTCACGGTCCTACTCCACAGGACAATAGGCCTCCAACCAACACACGTGCACACAGAGAGGCTCATTCACAGTAAATTAGGTGACTTTCACATATGCTCTGTACTCGGTGCAAACACACACACATGCAGACACGGGCTGCGTACAATGTCATCAACAGTGCTCTCCATTCAGTGGGAGGAGAGGTCTTAAGTTTGCCTGAACATTCTGTCCTTGACATTGTGTGCCGTAGCACACACGTCCATGTGAACACAGTCTTCCATTCTGCGGGACAATATGCATTTAGTGTCTGCACAAAGTTGTTGGAAAATTCAACACAATAATCCAATTACACGGTGACTCACAGGAATCCAGCTCAGCCTTATTGCTCTACTGCAGCCTCTGGTCTCGGCTAATGCAGGGTTCTAATGCTTCTTTGGATTTCCATTGAGTTAGGAGGATGAAGAGTTTCTGCAATTACTGCAGTGGAAAACATCAAACCCAACAAGTAACTTTTTCACAAGTGCGAAACAGTACAAGTCAAGGTACTTGTCCAAATTAATTTTAGCTCAAGTGGAGTTGGCTGTGAACATGTGGGCTTTTTTGGCGGGTTCAGTGAATGTATTTCCACAGGAGGGTTTCAATGATTGGTGAACTTGAGGACAAAAGGGATTTTTTTTTTTACCTAGAACAAAAAAAACCAAAACAAATGGCATATATATATATATATATAATTATTTTTAAGAATATATATATATATTCTTAAAAATAATTTAACTTTGCCTTTAAACAGAAGAACATAAACCTAATTCACCTATTACACTGTTAAATGAGCAGACTCAGTCATTTTTACTTCTAAAATGTCCCTGCAGCACAATTCTAAGTCATCAAACCTTAACAATATTTTGGAAGGAGTCAATAATGTTTTGAAATAAAAACAAACTGTTGTTTATCCCCACAAATTAATCCAGTCATTCTCGAGTTATTGATTACTGCACCTTTAGCAGGTGACAAGGTAACAGCAAGATTTGATCAGTCACAGTTTTTTTTTTTTTCCACAAACAACTATGTTCTACAGTGGACCTCTGTTTAGATGATGATGAGGCAGCGTTGACAACTGTATCCTCATTTATCACAGAAGTCACAGAATTTATCGCAGAACAAACTTATACAATATTTCAGAACTGTTTTATTTTTAGGTCCAGAGCAGTTCTGTCCACCATCTTTCATCATCTTGTCTACAACCACAGCACACAATTACCGACCGTGATAAGGTTCTGGTAAATTCACTGCACGGCTATCTGCCCAGCACCAGGCGACAGACAAATTTAGCAGCTAACGAGTAAACACAGAACAGAACGTAGAGTGTGGTGAGTCAGATATTTTCCTCTCCGGAGTTGTTGGCGAACACAGTTCGCCCTTGCCAAAAAAAATGGACCTACTAATGCTGCTTTAAAATTTCTCCTCTTCCTCAGTGATGGATTTCTTTCCTTATGACGTTTGAACACTGACGAAAACTGTAATAGATGAAGATTTATCTGCACATAAACCCTCCGTACCACAGGTGTCCTTGAAAGGTTTTGTCCTGACTGAACATCACCAACATTTGGTGATTTTTTTTTTTTTTTTTTGCGAAGAATCCCACCTTGAAACTCAGCTTCAGGCTCCATTATAGCTGATGTTTCTCCTCAATTAATCTCTTTCTCAATTATTTTTAAAAAGCTGATGAAACAATTAGTCTTTCTACTCACACGTCATTACATGCACACAAACACACCTTCAGGCCCATCCCTCCCTTCCTCCCTCCTCCCTGTTGTCTTTCCTGGCACCAGCTTCCAGTGACACAGATGGTGATGGGAATAAGAGAGATACAAAGAGGCACAGAATGGCAGCAGTTCATAATCTTTTGTCTATCAGTCCTCTACCTTTTATCTGTACATTTATTTTTTTATAAATCACATCTACCTCCTCTCAACATCTTTCTGCCTTTTTCCTCTAAAGCGTAGCTCTTTTTTTTCTCTCCAGTGTCTCAATCCATCACCCTGCCTCCCTCCACCTAACTATCTTAGAGCTTCCACCAAAAGCCATCCATCGATTGGATTCGATCATTTATCACGCTTCCTGAAAGCTAGCCCCACCTTGTACCAGGACCTTTTATACACCTATTAACTTTTGAAATTTGACCTCTCAGTCATCTACATCTTCCTCCTCCCGCCTGTCTCCTCTTCCACATTGAGCCAAAAGAGATGGGATGAATTAGATGGCTACTTTCTTAATGTTTACATCACACACACCGTTCCATCCAGATGCATGCACATTTAGAATTAATGGAAACCTGAGGACTTACCAGCTGCATGCCACAGATGAAGGCCAAGGTGCACCTGCCAGTGCAGCACCCCATGGTCTCCTCCTGCTCCTCTGCCCACGTGCTGAAGAAAGTCTGAGTAACTCCAAAATCTCCAGCTGCACCTTCACAACCCAAATCCCCGAGGGTCGTCCGGCTGGATGGCAGCTTAGTTAGAAGACCAGACCAGACCAGACCAGAGCCCAAGCCCTGTCCCTGCTGGAGACCAGGGGAATTAACACAAGGTGTTTCACTGAAAGAGATGATGCAGACTAAATCTGGTCCTCTGAATCTCAGCCCTACACTGGCCAGAAACCACAGGTGAAATCTGTGTGGTACGAGTCGTTCCTTCACGGAGCTCGTTTGTGTTAGTAAACTCTTTCCATGCGCCTGCAACAAAGAGCTGCGTGGAACCGAAATGATCAGATGTTGTCACGCCTTTAGCTGTGTTGTCCAAACACACTGAAGATGCGGGTGTTCAATGTCGCTACGGTGGCTTGTTGCATCAAACAAAGGTTGCATTTATGTCAACAGAGGCTGCTCTTGTCCAGTTATTACCTACTGGGCTGAAAAGTCCGCTCCACGATCACCTCCGAAAGCAGCATCCTGGTCATGGTCCTCCGGTTAAATCACTGAGTTTAAATAAAAAATAAAAAGACAGAGATAAATAGTGCAGTCCAACCGAGCTGCGCCTGGAAAAGTTTGACTAAAACAATAGTGGTTTGTTTGCGAGCTTGATGCGTGTCTCCTCTCACAGAGCAGCTGCTTTGCTGTAAAGGAAAATCACGCACATCACTGTTCATTCACACCAGCGTTTCATCTCCAAGCCTGCTGCTGCTGCTGCTGCTGCTGCTGCCGTCTCTGAGTTTGTTTAAACACTCAGCCAAGAATGAGTCAAATTGTATCCACAGAAGGTTGTGATCCCCGTGTTTGCTCAAATCCTCCTCATCAGCATCATCAGCATCATCATCAGCATCCTCCTCCTCCTCCTCCTCTGGTTCATCTCTCCATCAGCTCCTTCTGAGCACAGCCGCCTCGTTGTTTGTCATCCGCCTCGCTGATCGGTTCATTCACTGCCTCCTCCGGTGCACGTTTCCTCCACTGTCCAAACACACGGGGCAGCGCGTTCACAACCTGACAAACAACGTGAACTGTTAGGTCCAAAATAAGTCACTACATGTGACAGGCAAACAGCAATATGAGTAAAAATAAAGGACAAGTTTGGTGAGTCGTCTCTCAGGGATGTCTTCAAGGAGTGAGGAGGGAAGACAATGGCATGGAGAGGAGAGAGAGAGAGAGAGAGAGAGAGAGGGAGAGAGACCCGAGGAGCGTATATTCTCGCTTGCCATCTGTCAAGTCAAACACCACACAATAACAAGCATTCTCCTGTTTATACCTTCAAAATAAAACGCTCCAAGAGCTTAACTCTAGTGAAAGTATGTCGTTGAGTTTGTTGTTTACAAACTGTACTGTAAGAACACTACAAATCTAACTAACTATAACAGTTTCCAAAAAAAAAAAAAAAAAAAACCTGAGAGATGAACAGGTTTTTAGAGTTTAGAGCAGAGGTTTCATACACAATAAACAAGAAATAAATTGAAAAGAATGTGTAGATTTACAAAGTCACTAATGAAATCTGAGAGAAGGTAAGAAGAGGCACTGGGGTTGACATCGCAGGTAACTGTGTGTGTGTGTTACCTTTAGAGACGTGTAATTTACAGCCTACAGTATTTTACAGTAAACTCATAAATAATTTTAGAACTCACTCAAATGTATAATAATGTTCTATATTGCTATATCTAGAAGTTTATTGATTTACATCTGATGTAGCTGAACTTTTTTGATTATTTATTTATATATTTATATATTTTCTTTCTGGTTTCACTGTAATAATACAAAGTCTGGTCTTCCTCTTCATTATGGTCTTTAGGATGTACTGACTTCAGCATCCTTTGAGAGTGCGCCCTTAAAACTGAGTCCATCTGGCAGTTTAGTCATTATTAGCTGACCTCTAACAGATGGATGGCTCTCTTACCGACAGCTACCTGTCATTTTATGTGATATAGTACTTAAACCCAAGACATCCAAATTACATATTTAAAAAAATCATCTTTTAAATTGCAGTAATTATACAGATTGACAAGACAAAGTGAAGTTGGAAATCTTTTAGATTTACATTAAAAGAAAGTAAGATTTCCACTCACTTCCTTCATGTCTTCCTTCCTCTGACTTGCCTGAGTGTGTGTGATTGGCTGCAGGTGTGTGTGATTGAATGCAGTGACACATCTCAGGTGAAGCCTGCTGATTGGTTCTGCCATGGACATTTCAGCATAAGAGAAAAACACTGGTATCCTTGTGACAGACTCTTTCTGCTCTGTTTTAGCCAAAGCATATAAATACAAGATTCCCATTTAAAGTGCACACAATAGCTATAAAATCAGTCAAGGCTGGTGTCTTCAACTGTGGGAAAAAAAAACAATAGTTATAGGGCAAGAAGACAGCTATTAGATGAAATGTAATGTTTAAAAATAATAAAAACCTACCATTACATACTACTACTGTTACTACTTTAACTGATATTGTGATAATGTTGTTATTCCTGTTATTGCGTTGTTTTTATTTTATTTTATTTTATTGCTCTTATTATCATGATCCATAGTAGAAAAATCTGTTTATATTCTTTTATTTTGAAGGCGCCCTCCATCCCTGCTGCATCCCTGCTCAGTCTGACTTGATGAGGCTGATGTTCCGCTCCACAGGGAAGCACCGAGCTCTATTCACCCTCTGTATCTCACAAACACTGGGAGATGAAGGTCTGTTCGATGAGCAGCTGCTCAAGAACATGGCCTTCAACCGTCAACAGTAATGGATGAGCTCTTTCTCTGCTTCTTCCCTGTTCTCTTTCTTTTTTTGTACCATATTTTTCTCTCTATCCCCAAGTTGTCATCACGATGACCATTTTGTTCTCTTTTCCCACTCATTTATTTGCAGACTTCGGATTGTCTGATAACCCACCATTAGAGCTGAATATTAAAAAGGGGGATGAGGGCTTTAAAATTTTCATGTAGCACATTAAAGTTAGTTACAACTCTCCATCAGTTTTACAAAAGAGCCTTGGGTTCACACTCCACATGGTGATTGCCTCATTTGTGAGTGACATTTAATTTATTTCTCTGTCGTTACCACAGCGTACGGAGTTCACTGAAGGCATCACAGCCGTCCGTGGCCAAATTTAGCCACAAAATGCCCTCTTGAAAACAAGTCACTTCCCCCTAATTAAAGGTAGCGGATCTGCGTGAGTTGTAGGGTCAATGGAGCCACGCCTATAAAAGGCCCAGCAGTTTAAACAGACTGTGGGGTGTAGAGGCTATCACTGCTTAGGCAAGACAACATAATGGCCAGCTTTCTGCTCACCATCAATCTCTGTCAGTGTGTGTCCCTCCTTCACACACACGCACAAGAAAAACAGCACATGCTTTCAGATTCACACACGCAGGACCTAACGCACATGAACACATTCACACCACATGCAGTGCAGTTAATTATATCGCTAATCTTGAGTGACAGTGGCATGTATAATAGCTGATTCCCCAGGGCCTCGTGTCAAAGCATCCGCCCCTGCATCCCTCCATCCTTCCGATCTTTATCATCTTACCAATTTAGTTCCTCATCTGTGGCCCGGCCCACTGGTACGAACCAAACCAGTTCATTTTTTTTTTATTTCAACAAACACCTTTCCTGGTTATACTTTTCCCAGGCTTCTTTCCATGAAAACTGAGAAAAATAAATGTGTGGGGTTTTTTTTCTCTGTAAGTGTAAGTGACTGATGTCAGTAGAGTGTGGTAATTTTGACCTTGGTGAAGTCTTTGGTGATCAGAGACATTTGATCAGGTATGTATCCTGGCTAATAGCCCGATTATAGGACCATGTGCATGTTCAAGATGGACTGCAGAAGCTTAAGACAAAAGAGAGTGAGCAGTGATTCTCTCTGGGTGAAAACACCTTTTTGGTGTCACGTGTCAGAGAAGAAGAGCAGGACCGGAAATAAGCTGGTGGGAAAACATGTCACACGTCAGTCTTGTTTTTTCTTTTTTTGTTTTTTTGTCTGCAACCCAGACGTGATGTAATGAGTTTGATATGAAGATCATGAAGGAACAATTCTATCGTGTCTTGTGTTAATGGTTCAGGATGGTGGCGCTATAACTGTGCTGGGGAAAACTTTCCAGGCACATTCTGTACCAGCTGAGCACTGCTTAAATGTCGCAGTCTACCTGAGTAATGTTAATCCCTGTCTGAAGGACGCTTCCACCAGGATGACACGCCACTGAATTAAGCTTAAATCTCCCCACAGTAACATCCCTAATTCAAAATGTGTTTACTTCACTCCAAAATAACCTCCGTAGTCACCAGATTACTCCAGTCTAAAAAAGCAGAAAAAGGGTGGAAACAAGAGAGAGCAACCACAAATACAAGTGACGTGACAATTGTCTGGCAACCGCCATTGAAACAATAGAGAACAACATGATTTCATCAAAACAGTTCTCAAGGCAAAAGACCTTTTAGGAGGTAGCTAATTAAGTGGCCGTTGACTGTCCTTCATGTACAAACTGATCACAAAAAACACAAACTGCTTGTTCTGGTGTCTTGTCTATAAATCATTTTTAATTTGTCCATTCCCTGTTTTTATTTAATAAAATAAAGAAAAAAAAATCTCCAGGTTTGGCAACAAAATAAATGTGATGTTATCACCTTAGTCCTCCGTAATGAGCATGATTTACTGTGTTTCTGCTTTTGTTTAATCAAAAAGAATAATTGACTGTTTGCTGTGTGATTCGTTTGCAATGAATAACAATGATTAGAGTTTTACTACATGATGTGCCAATTACTTCAAAATGAAACATGGCCAAAAGCCAGTGATGCAACTTCAGAATACAAATCACTCGCTCCTGAAAGTGATATGCAAGGTCACCACATATGACATGAATTCCCAATGTGATCCAAACCTCCCTTCATCCTGCCTTTTTGCATTTGAAATACCTGGGTTTTTTGTACGTATATGTAAATATAATTGTTTTACGCAATACACGGTGAAGTTTTACCACTGATTAAACACTGTTTATGTAAAAGAGGCAAAGAAGGTCTGTTTTGACCGTGGAAACCGGAGGATCCTCAAAGTAAATGTATCCTCCTCAGCAGATGGAGATGTCCAGCTGTCAGCAGAAGATACAGGGCGTGTTCCAATTCCCATTTAAATAGAAAGTAAGAAAAAAAGAAAGAAAGAAAGAAAAAAAGAGAGAAAGAAAGACAGAGGGAGAAAGTGAAAAAGAGAGACAGAATCCTGACAAATTTGAGTCGTTTAGTTTAATAGTGTTTTATACCTCTGCCTCAGTTATAAGGCGTTGCACTCACTTGCCTCATCTGAAGTCATATTGCTGCCTTAACGGCACATGCTGCTCTGCTATCATGTCAATGAGGCATTTTTAAATAGATTTTGATGGAGAGAAAATGTGACAAGCAGTGCTAGGGAGTGACTGACAGGCAGAGATAGAGAGAGAGAGGGAGAGAGAGAGAGAGAGAGAGAGAGAGATTGAGAGAGCAGCTACACCTTCCAGATAGGGAGATAGTACGTGTGTGTTACTTTATCTGTCTGGACCAGATGTCACCAGATGCCTACTACTGCCAACCAATCTCAGCCCACACACACACACACACACACACACACACACACACCTTCTGTCATCCCTCCTACACCTGGTCCTACAGCACCTAGAACAATCGAACAGCACAACAGCTGGACTGTCGATGAAACAGGACCAGTAGACATGCAGAATATCACAGGGTTTACTGTATGTGAGGAGGAAACTGAAGGGAAATCGAGGGGAGCAGTAAAAATGATAAGGAAGCTGAAGAAATAGGGAAATTGGGAATATGTGCTTTTGGCAAAAAAAAGGGAAATTGCACATGTTTGTTGTTGTAATAGTGAAAATAAACTGTGGACAAAGGCAGAAGAGAATTAAATGTCAGATGAAGTTATGTGAGGTGAGTTTGTGTATTTTCTGCCCCACCTTTTCTGTTTTAAGAGTCATTTTAAGAGGTGGATTTTGCAGGAATAGTCAGAGTTATTCCCATTATACTCTGTTTATTTGTTACTGAGCAAGACAATTAACTCCGTGTTGGTCCCCACCTCAGCCACAGGGGGCAGATTACCACCAATGACCTGCTACTGTAGCTTCACTTAGTGTCAAAATGAATAAGATGAAACTGCTGTGCTGTACTACACACACACTAACTAACTCTTTATTACGTGCTGCAGTATTTTCATTCATACTTCAATTATGAATTTTTAAAAGATCATAATTAGATTCCATGACTCACAAAATGTTATCTAAAAACATACTGCCACATACTGACATCTGTTTTCCCTCAGTCATTTCATATTAGTTCAATTATAGCTGCTAATTGGTTGCAAACTATCTCTTGTATTCTAAGCCTTTTGACCAAGTTGGAGTTAATTGTCTTGAGTGAGTGACACAGTGGCAGCAGTCCAGCCTGTCACACAGAATGTCCAGTACAACCCAGTGGCCATAGTCCCAGGATGCGTTGCCGTAGGAACAGCATCTGGTAAAAACCCTGTATCCAATCACTATGCAGACTCATGCTGGGAGCAATTCATCTTTATTTTATAACACTAAATGTCGATCAGTGATCAGTAAAAGGCTGTTTTCTGGTGACCTTCAGTAGAAGGTTATGAGTTGAGGAAACTTGTTACTCCTAATCTTCCTTCTCCTGAATATGTGTAGTATGGTGCAGTAATTCATTTCTAAATGTGTCACTCCATATTTGTCCATAAATATCTGCAAAAAAAATGTCCAATGTCATATTTGTTGGTACTTTCACTTTGATAAATGTAAAAAAACTACTGCAGATTTTTTCTTTTTCTTTTACTATTTTTTCTAGAAGTGGTGGTGAGGCAGCTCTATTCACAAACCTCAGACCCCAGTGATCTCCTGCTGATCCCAGTCCTGGACAAATTTGGAGAATTGTATCATGAAAGACATTAAGTATAACCTGTGCCAAACCCTATAACTCTATTCTCTGTGGAGACGGTGAAGGAAGAAGGGGTCTTTAAGAGATTCTCTTTCAGTGACTTATAGGGTTTTTCTCAGTGGCAGGAGGGTAGAGCTGATGGGTCAGGTGGAGAGCTCCACTGTCTGGTAAAAGCAGAATGATTTGTTCCTCGGTGTCAGCCAGAAAAAAGAATTTCAGCTGGAGCAGGAATATAAGGATGCCTGTCACCCTCCAGGGTGAGGAGGTGGTGAGGGCAAAGTCTGATGCTTCTTTTTTTAAATTTATATCACCAGCGTGGCAGCTCTGACATCTTGGAATCACCTGTATGAAACGGACAGGTTAGCATTCAACGCATGCGACGCAGATACATCAATAAGAAAAACTCGGGGGAACTCAACAAATCAGGACGAAGCTTTGACTAATGTGGCAGGAGGCAGGATGAGGTCCAAACAGAGCAACATCTTGGCAAATATCTGCTAATCTCTTGATGTGCTTCTGCAGCAGGAGAGCAGCTTTTGGCTGCTGGCTCAGCACTGCCAGAGTGCCTTAGAACAGACATTCAGACTGTTACATCGTCAGTCACAGGCACTGACAGACTGCACAGCAGCCTGAGGTTTGTCATGTATCCTGGCATAAACAAAATCCCTGTTTTCTGATCTGCGCGTGAAGAATCTCTCAGACGACAGCTACAGGTTCATTCACTGTGTAGATGAAGGTTTATTCACTTATTTAATCTGTTACTGAACACAATATTTTGGTGGCAGCGATTCAGAAATGGAGTAATAGAATCTCAGAGGGTTTATTTCAATGTCATGAATTAGTCTAAAAGGCATTGGTCCATTAAAAATCCAAAACCATTCATTTTAATAATTAATTAAAGGAGGAGGAGAAAATAACATGGTTAATATGAAGACTTTTCGTTTGTTTTAATTAAATAGCTGCCTTACACATAATCATAGTTTGTTTTGTTTTTTTATCACTGAT